TAGTCCATAACTACTGGCCTTTTTTCCTTTATGAAGTTTCCCTGTTAAGAAGACTTTATAACACGTATGTAGTCAGGACTTACACTTACATATTAGAATAAGAGTTTTGGTACCCATCTTAGGAAAAGTGCTATCCAAAGACGGCGTTATAAGGCATCAAAAGAAAAAAAAATCTGTCGTTACCTGATTAATCTAGTTGCATATTTAATGGCAAGGAAAGCCAGAGCAGAATGTTCTGGAAAGCAGCACGTTCACAACCCTTCTCTTAATCAGGCTGTGAGAATGTCCCCTGTGAAGCTCTGCATTTGAGCTCAGTGACTTCCCTGCCTACACACAGATGGAATTCCCGGGTGCATAGAGGAGGCCCAATAGAAATGAGTTAAGGGGTTCAGTTTATTCTACTTCATAGACAACGCTGACATCCTGTCCACCTCTGCTTTGAGTTGGATCCTTTTGATTATGCTGAAGAAGTCACACAGGGCTAAGCTCGTCTCTGGAGACAGCTTATTTTGTATGCACGAAGTCCCGGGTTCATCCTCTACTACACAGAGAATAAATACATGAGCAAATGAACAGATTTACACTGAGCAAACTTTCCACAGGGAACAGCATACAAATCAAACAGGTGACAACGCATTGGTGATCAAAAAGCATACTAAAAAAGTTAAATCAATTTTTTTTGGTAATATGAACTTTTTAAACCTAGAAATCAAGGTTTTTGAGAACTGACTTTAAAACATTCAAATGTCATTTTCCCATAGGGTTTACTGATATAAGGATATTTTGCTAGTCTCTTATTTATGACAAATATTCAAGAGATTTCTTTAAAAGCACATCGCCATTGGGAGGAAAAGTCAATATGCACTCTATAAAATCCCCACTTTGAAGCCCAACTGGCAGGCTTTGATTTTAGAAGCTGTAAAGGTGAAAACAATGGCTCTCTTGGGCTTCCCTTGAATTCAGAGCAGAAGGCTCACTTCAGCGAAAATGGCGTTAGCGGGGAACCACAGGACAAGTGGAAGCCAGTATCAGGCAGCACAGTGCCTCAACCCTTAATATTCCCTCACTGAATCTGCGTGTGGGGGTGGCGTATAGAGGGTGAAGTTCTGATAGAATTTCCTCTAATTACTTGTAAACATATCCCACACCATATCTCAATAAAGGAAATATAAAACAGCTCATACTTTGAGACGTTTATTCAATGTACCAGCTCTTTCAAAGTTGGCTGTGATTTACAGGCACCGTCACTCTTAAGAAATCAAATGTCACAGCAGCATGAAAAGGTCCATAATGGCTGCCGCCCCAGAGCTGTTTCCTTGTGTTTTCAAAGTCTCCTAAAGAAAGAAAAATCCACTCCTGTCGAAAGTGAACTATGAGACACCTTTCCACTAGACGCTGCTGTTATACCTAACGTGTCAAGTCGCCAAGTGGCAGTTTGTTTAAAGGTTTTGGGAAAACTCCAATTTACAAATCACTTAATCAACTCAAGACTAAGTTACGTTGATGACGATCATTTCATCTTTAACGACACATATTTCTAAAAATTGAGTATTCCTTTGTCTATGTGTCTATAGCACAAAACAAGTAGATATACCCTGGGCAACAACTTTCGGCCAGTCATGTTGTTTATTTTTACAGAGGAAACTGATCCATTTTAACTAACTCGAGTGACTGAATTCTTATATAAATTTCATCATCTCTTGAATTTTAACCTAATATTTCACTTAGGTCTAAACAGAATTTCCCCAATTACCTATGAACATGGCCTCTATGAAATATTAATAAAGGAAACAACCTTAGATATAACAAACTAACAAAAACAGTTTGATCATAAATATAAACAGAAGCATACTATAAATTTAAATTTTCTTTTCAGGTATAAATCAGGACATTTTGTATTTACATCTTTGAGCACACACACACACACACACACACACACACACACATGCATATATCTCCAAAGTCATTTTAAGACATATTTGAAAAAAATTATAATGTAATTGAAAATGAATGAGAGGGCAGATTTTTGATAACTGCTTCAAGTTCTTCGCGACTAACAGGTCTATTTAGATCTTTCACCTGGTCTTGGTTTAGCTTTGGTATATGGTACTTATCTAAAAAGATGTCCATTTCTTTTGTATTTTCCAGTTTTGTGGCATACAGGCTCCTGTAGTAAGATCTAATGATTCTCTGAATTTCCTCTGTGTCTGTGGTTATGTCCCCCTTTTCATTTCTGATCTTATTTATTTGCGTGTTCTCCCTCTGTTGTTTAATTAGTTTGGATAGGGGTTTGTCTATCTTGTTGATTTTCTCCAAGAACCAACTTTTTGTTTCATTGATTCTTTGGACTGTTTTCTGTGTTTCTATTTTGTTGATTTCTGCCCCCGAGACATTTAAGGTCCACTCAATTTTTCCATCTTATCCATATGTTTTATTTGCAGATTACATAATATTCAACATTAAGTTATACATCTAAGAGAATTTGATTTTGAAATCTTACATACTATTTCTATTATGCATGATTAAAATTTAAGAGAATTTAATACCTCAATTCTTTCCTTTTTCTGTGTGTGGTCGTCAGACAGCACGAATTAAAATAAAGAAAAAAAGCGACCAATACTGCCATTTGGTAGCTTGCAAGGGCACCAAGAAAGGCACCAACACAGCTTGCAGTAATGTGCTTTCCCCCTTGAATAAGGAGGCTTGTGTGGCGCTGACATTAAAAGGATTAAACAGCAAGCCTGCTGAGAAAATGCTCGGAGGTATTAAACCCTAGCAGTGTTGGTTTAACTGTAAGTACTGTAGAATGAGATTAAGTCCAAGTTTGGAAGGAAAACTAGCTTTGACAGGAGACTAAAAGGTAACAGTTTTCGCAGATGCCCGAATTAATGCTTCAGTGAAAAATATAATTAGCACACGATTTGAAAATATGTCTCCCCTGGCAAGTGTCTCTAGAGCAATCAGGACTGCAGGCTGATGGGCTGGAAAGAGCGCCGGGCAAAGGGCCAGAATCTTGGACTTCAAGCTTGTTGCTGTAGCATTTCCCAAAACTTTGATCCCGATGATGGATATGGCCAGTTGTAACCATTCTTGCTTCTTTATAAAGTGCATTTTTGCACCGCAGGGACCAAAGGGCCGAAAATGGAATTCCCCGGCTTCCCGCGCCATGGAAGTTTCAGAAAGCAGATTAGATTCAGTTAGAGGCCAAAGTCGCCTTCCTGCCACTGGCTTTGCTTTGTGCGAAGTGGCCTTGTGGGAGAAAGGCTCATCCATGATAGGGTCCTGCCTCTGAATTATAGATGCCCTGGTCTGACAGCCTGTTGAGTGACAGCTGAGGTGGTCCCTGGTCCTTTCGTTGTAATTGCAGTGGCAAATTTGACGATGGTTTTATAGGAAATTCTGCATTTGCCACCTTCCTCGTAGAGGCAGAAACAGTAGTCACCCTGCGAATCACTTGTAGGATATTCTGGAAACATTTCTCCATGCCCAGCTTCGAGCGGCTATCTCTAGCCTTTCCAATTATTTTGTAATCTTTTAATTCCTTGTAAATAGTCTCTGTCTACTTAAAATGCCCAGAGATTATCCTGCCTCCCATTGAGTTCTAATTGTTAGAGAGGTAAATCGTATTCTTTTACAAGGTCTTTAAAAGGACCAAACAGGAATACACTTTTGAAAAAATATCCATACCTGCCAACTAGCAGCTGTCAAATGACCTCATTGTATTCTGTTTTTATTATTAATTTTAGCAACATAACATATGTATATCTCATGAAATATTCTTTCTCTTGGGCACATAATTCAAAACAAATTATTGCCTATCTCTACGTATCCAGATACCACAAAGCTTCAGTTTGCCATGTGTTTGCACAACATATTTTTTACGGCTGGAATGGAGAGATTACTTCAGTTACATTCCTCTGTTTCTGGACCACTTTTCTCTGATAGCGGCATCAAAAACCTGGGGCTAACGCTGTGTGTGGGAGGGAGCTGACACCTGCCTCCGTGTGTGGGGACGCTGAGAAGGAGCAGAAACACCACTTTATTCTGTATTCTCCATCTCTGCATCTTCTAAAGGAACCAAACCATCCTTTTTTTCCCACCATCAGTTTATGTGTAGCTCTGTTTGTTGCTGTGCCGCGGAATCAAGAGACTTTGGGCTCTCACCCCAGATCTCCAGAGGTCTTTCTGTCTTGTTGTTGTGAACTAAAATTAAAACTGAAAAGAAAAACAAAAAAACAGATTGTGTCTCTCAGGAGATTGTCAGTTAAAACGTTGGAAACAATTTAATGTTTTTGGCTTTCTCATGATGAGTGTAGTGGATGTTCTTTGAAGTGATGGCCTTGAAGCTTATTTATGTATTTATGCCTCAGAAATCCCATAACCTGAGGATCAGAATTCCCTGAAGCAGCCATGACTCACTGAGTCATCTCTGAGTACTGTGTCAGTTTGTCACAAAACAAACTCCGTACCGTGTTTGCTTTGGGGCAAGGGCACTTAAACATTTAGTGCGGCGTGTGCAATTTTCAGGAATGCAGAACCATAAACAGTCACACACACACGTGTTATAGTATAGGGTGTCTTTGCAATGTGCTGTAGTACTGTTTGGAATTAAATTGTTGCGGCATAATATTGTCTTCAGGATGCTATAGGGTGGTGTGATTCGGTTCTCATCACTCAAAGCTTTTTTATTTTGCTGCACGTGAAAGCTACATTGAATAACGATATGAAATTCTGGCATAGGTACTACAGTTACATCTGATTTTCAGGTGATATGGTGACCAACACATTTATGGGGATTCAGTAATGTGTGTGTGTGTGTGTGTGTGTGTGTGTGTGAGAGAGAGAGAGAGAGAGAGAGAGAGAGAGAAGCGTCTTTTGCTTACTTTAATGTTTCAAAGTCCATCCATGTCTTAGCATGTAGCAGTACTTCATTCTTTAACACAAATAACAGATGTGAGAAAGGCAAATAATAATATCTAGCTGTATTCATATCATTTCAGTCACAAAGAAACTGGGAGTATTAATACCTGGTCCCAGATCTCCAGCTAAGACAGAGTCCAGAGAACTTTGCAGTATTGTCTAGCGTGAAGCAAGTACATCAGGTAAGTTATCCGTGTGCCTGCTTTCCTTCTTTGACAGAGGACATGCCACCACACAGTCCTACACCGTTAGGCTGAAGCACCGGAGAGTATTTCCAGTGCATTTGAACTACTAGTGTGGCCCACTGCAAAGCCACCAAGAGTATTCTGCATCTACTTTAATAAAACAAGGCAAGACATTTTTCACCACAAACATATATTCTAAATCTTAAGATTAATTTTTTTCTCTGCTTATTTTAGGATCTGGGACTCTAGAGGGAAACGTGACATTTCCATGACACGGGGACGAGTTGGTTCCAGCTTTGTAGCTGCCTCGTGTTGCGTTTGGCTGTGGTCAAGGATCATTGGCGTCCTCTCTTTAAATGCATTTGCACACGTGCTGTGACAGTCTGTGAGGCACTGCTGGCCCACTGCTTCGTTGGGGAGAATCTGTTCAATGTTTGTCTGTGTGACTCGCCTGGCTCAGAAGTTTTGAGTCAGAAGTGAAACACGTAGCTAAGGCAAAGAGAATTTTAAGAAGTGAAACCTGAAACAATAAAACCATTCATAACACAAAATTACTTATGCTATTATTGTAAGTGACACTTACAGGGTATTTACTACATGTCAACTATGAAATACTTCATAAAAATTCGACTGGTCTAAGAGATTTTCGACGCAGCGGTCACTGCAGCTGCAACTGTACCTATGTGACTTGGCTGGCGATCTCCCAGCCAAGTGGGATTCTGCTGACCTGTGAATACCACACTCTTCCACAGAACTGGGCACTTCCCTTACCGCCAGGCTTCTCCAGCTTCTTGGTAATTGCTGTTTCCCACAGTAGGGAGCACCATCTGCATCTGCTGTGGATAGAATTGCCTTCTCTGCAGTAATCCAACAACCCAGAGACGTGTAGGAAGAGCAGTTCACCAATCTCTGTTGAATGGATTAATCTCTAAAGAAGCAATACACTTAAGAAGCAGCGAGACTTAAAGATGGTGCAGACGAACAGTCTGTGAACATTCTTCTTCCAGGCTTCCACAGGGATCCCTGCTCCCCGACACCATCACCCAAGCCTGGCTTTTGAAAGAGGCGCAGCTAGGAAGTGCACAGACTGAGAGACAAAGCCAGGCTCTGCACAGAGAAGCCATGCTCCATAATATACTATAGGAAGCACTGTAACTCTTTAGTAAAGGCTCGAGATTCGAGATTCTGGATTCATTCTTCTGAGCAAGGGCATTCTTGAACACACTGCCCTTGGGGCAGGCTGATTTTCTCCATCTCCTTTATTCCTCAGGGCTTTGTTGCCAACCCAAATAAGAACAAATAAAGGAAACAGAGCAGCTGATTTAGGATTTACTGATCCCACCCTTCGCCCTCCCCTCTACCCTTCCACTCTTCTGTAACAGCACCCCACCTTGGGTTCACCATGCTTAATTTGTTAGAGCGAAGTCAGGGAAGAGGAGTGGTCTACTCTGTGGAGATGCTCAATAAGCTCGGGAAAGGTCATACAGTTAGCTTGTGAAAACCGACTCAGGCCTTTCTGAATGGACTGGTCACCAGGTGAAGGTCTGTCTGGAAGATTAAGCTATGGAGGGTGATGTGGGTGGAGCCATGGGGAAAATTAGGTGCTGACAAGAAGCACAGAGGATTTGTGGCTGTGGATATAGCTCAGAAGGTGAGCCCTGAGTGTGTGCAAGGCTCTGTGTTCAGAGTGGGGAGCAGGACAAAAGGGGAGAGGGAGAAGGAGAGGAGGAAATAATTAAACTTTTATGAAGAGCATACATAATAATTAATGCAATACCACAGTTTTACAAATATATATCCTTAGCTAGAAATAATGTTTGCTACATCTTTAAAGCATGAAATGTAGAAACTTATTGGATATTTTCATGGTAGGGTAGGAATAAGCTCAATTTACTCAACACAATAGGTGTTTTTCTGCTTCTGTGCATGAGTGTGTGTTATATTTGTGTATGTGTTCATCTGTGTGTGTTGGGGTGCACAGGTATGGGTGTGCATGCCCATGGAGTCCAAAATTTGATGTTGGGTAACTTCTTCAATCACCCTCTGCCTTTTAAAAATTATTTTATTTTTAATTGCTGGTATGTGTGTCTATATGTGTGTATGTATTCATGAATCCAGGTGCCTACAAAGGCCAGAGGAAGGTATCAGATCCCCTAGAGCTGGAGTGACAGGTGGCTGTCACCTGCCTGATGTGGGTTCTGGGGGCTGAACTTGGGTTGGCTGCAATGACAATATATAATTTATAACTGCCGAGCCATCTCTCCAGCTTGATCCGCCTTAATTTTTGAGATGTGTTTTCCTTTTGAACCTTAAAATCACGGCTAATGGCACACTAACTGGCCAGTGCACTTCAGGGAGCCTCTTGTCTCTACCCCCTACACTTAATGAATTACACGTACCCCGTTTTTATACAGGGTTTGAGATCCAGATTCCAGTCCCCAGGATTGAGTGGCAAACACTTTACTGACTGAGCCACCCCCCCCACACACACACACCAGTCCTAGCTTTAAGAATAGACAACAACGTGAAGAAAACAGCAGAAATCCTACAGGGTTCACAAGAGCTCAGGAAGAAAGACCATGAGGTGAAGACTCACTGCCATGAACATCATCATGGAAGCGATCACTAGAAATAAATTTACCAAGAGAGACAAGCAAAGACACCTGCAGGGGAGGGGTGTGGGAGGGGAGAGGGAGGAGAGGTGAAATAGAGACGTCTTCTGTAGGAGCCTCTCTTATTCTAAATTCCCAACCAAAAGATGGGAGTTTCACAACGGCAATAATTAAACTCTCGGACAACAAAGGAATCAAGAGGAGATAATTAAGAAAAAGCTTTGAATTAATCTAGAAGAAAGGGCCCCAAGCACAGCGGCGTTTGGCTGATGGAAAGCAGCCAGAAGCTGATTAAGCAAGGGGAGGGGAGGTTAAGGGAGGAGGGGAGGTTAAGGGAGGAGGTGAGCACACATTACTTTATAAAAGATGTGGGGCATAAAAAGTAGGAAAGAAATATAATTGTGGGAAATGTCAAGGGCATTAGGTTAACACATAAAAAAGCAATGCCATGATAAAGAAGAATCTAATCTCCCCACATTCTGAACTCCTCCCTCATGGCAGGGTAGAGCCTTGGGAAGCTCATTAACCCCGAGAGGGCACTGGGGTATTGTCTAAATCACCGCAGCTCCTGTGGCTGACAAAGCCTAGGAGCTATCATTCCCAGCACAAGGCAGAGGATTTCCTGCCATAGTCCAGAGACTCCTTCAGAGATCAGGACACCATTCAAGACAGAGTGAGGACCCGCGTTCCTAGAGAAGTACGCATTTACAAGTAACTGTCAAATTCACACACAAATTGCCAGGCTGATCATCACTGGGTTATTTTATACTATCTGGATGGTTTACTTGTTTCATTTGTAAAACAAATATTTTTAGATTATGTTTGATAAATTTTATTAGAATATATATATATATATATATATATATATATATATATATAGTTGATGATCTCTAAGGACAAGAGGACATAGTTAGCCTTCAGTCATGGTCTCTGGTTTCCCTTTATGTGGTAAATACCTGTGCAGGTAGAAAAGGCAAGTGTGACCCAAGATGCCACAGAAAAGACAAGAACAAAATGAGACAATGGTGTCTTCTTTTTCTCAAATTTCCTTCAGACTCCTCCATTAAAGGTTTATGTTTTGTTTTATTTTTCAGGTATATTTTGGTATCATTTTCATGTGACCCTAGGAGTTTCTGCATAAAGTAGTTTCCTGCTTTAAGATTATGAAATTCACAATAAGAGAAGGAAAATATTGACAAGCTTTTTCTGGGATTTTCAGATGCTAAATCTCACATGGTTCTTCAGTTGTAAAGGTATAGAACTATCTACCATGTAGCTATTGGCACTTTAAATGTCATACAGATCTTTGTATATCTTTAGAGCTCTTGTAAATGCGATCATTAACAATATAAGATATGTAATATTAATAAAAGTTCTCACAATAATGATGTTTCCCTTAACCTTATTAATTTTTGAAACTAGGATGTTTACTATGGAAGTGGAATTTTCCTCCATAGTATCTGTAGACTTCTTAGAAGGTGTAGAGGATTCTGTTGTCCTCTCTCACCCTAAATTATGTAGACATTTAATAATCCAGATTCAGTAATTAATTGTGGGAGCCTAATGCACGGAATGCTTCAGTTCAATGAAGCTCAGCTCTGCTGAGTGTATATGACTGAAGGATTTTACAGAGATTAATAAAGTTACACTGGCCATTTACAGAACTAAACATCTACAGGGAAGAGGAGTGGCCATAGGTGTGACTACCAGGCACTAATTCCTATTATTTTCATTGGACTCTGACAGTAACTTCATAAAGTAATACATCTTACCTTCCTGTTTTAAAGAGTATGAAATCAAGAGGAAGGAGATCGATAGCATAGGTCAGTGTTAATGACAGAGGAACTACAAATCTAAATTTCCCATCAAAATTTATAAATACAGCTGGAAGTCTATAGCTCAGAGGTAGAGCACTTGTCTTGTATACACAAGGCACTGGATTTTGTCCTCAGCATCACACGCAGAAATAATAACAAACAAACAATTAAAACACCAAACTCTTTATCTAGGGAGGCGGTAAAATGCAAGCAATGCCTGAGCCTCTGCAGTTAGAACGGGTTCGCTGTGGGCGTAGAGGGAAGTGGCGAGAACGCCACAGCAGGAAACAAGGCTTAACATACACCAAGAGCCTCTAGGAGAGAAAGCCAGTTATCTCCAATGGGAAGTAAGAATATCAACCATGCCCGAGAGCAGCTGGCCCACACAGAAGGAATGCCATGGTTTTCAGTGTACCTTTTTAGTTTTGTTTTGGTATTTTTTTGTCTTAGTGGGTTTTGTTTGTTTTTATTTGGGGGTGGGGTGTTTAAAAGAGAGAAAATACATGAGGTTGGGTGGGTTGGGAGGCAAGGAGGACCTTGAAGGAGATAGGGGATTGGAAAGAATGTGATACAAATACATTTTCTGAAAAAAAAAATAAAAACCTTAAATAAGAAAGTTGGTATTGTAATCTACATATTAGATTTCTAATGGGTACCTGAAATCGTAACTGTAAGGACCTTATAGTTGCTGTATCCCATATAGTTGCTATGTATATGTGTATATGTGTGGTAAGGTTTAAGCTAAATTAGGCATGGGAAGAGAATGATAATAATGGCCAATATCAAAACAGAACAGCTATAAGGAAATGCTCTAACTGAGTTATGTGAATACAGTCTCTCTTGCAAACAGAACACACTGCAGCCACTGCCTTATCATGATATGAGGCGATACAAATGCCCGTCTGATGACATGCAGGGAGGTGAGTGGCGCCGGCATTGTGTTGTGGCATTAGCCCAAGTAAGGGCCACCTGGACACAATCACATTCTTTCCTTCCTAAAAACCTTCCTAACTTTTCTTTTTATCAGAATGGGACATAAAATCAGCCTGTTGGTGTGGTTAAATTTTATGGTGTATAATTTACTGGCTACCTGTGAAACAGAAGGAAGGTCAGCACATGCAGACATGTGGAAGACGCCAGAAGAGGAAGAGGCTCCTGAGTCCTCCATCCCTTGCCTGAGGAGGAGCCATTGCAGTGCTACTCCATGGTAGAGTCCCTTACTCTCTCCTAACTCTGTGTGTATCCTGGTCCTGGAATTGGGACCACTCTGCAATGCTTCCATACTGATGATCATACTTCATGCATGCATTGGAGAAGTGTTGCTGCAGGTTAGCTGGTAACCCCGACCCCAGAGCCACTAGAATTTCATATGCACTCACGCTGCATGCACCTGAACAACAGACGTCATAACCCGTGCACCCTAGACCCCAGAGAATGTTCCGTTCTGAACACAGAATGTTCTGTGTCCTTGTGCACTCTAGGTATCTATTTCTAAGATCCCTGTGCTACTACCACAGCAGGCTGTCTGTCCCTCGGATGATGATGCTTTCTGGAATCTGATAGTTTGTGTAGACCTGGTCTCTCTGTCGTCTCTTCTCTACAGACTACATGTTTCATTGAGACTATTCATGAAGTAGAGTGAACAACCAATAAAAACGTTGATTCAATAACTAAAAATCTCCCCAAAAAGATGGCTTCAATTGGAAATTCCAATAAGCATTAAAAAAAGATTTAGTGGTCATTCTTTATAAACTTCAATTAAAAATCAAAGAGGAAAGAACACTTCCCATCATGGCTTTTAAAGCCATTAAACATAGATACTGTGAGAAAGGAAAATTATAGTATATTGTTCTTCACCATGGATGGAAAAGTCCTCAGAAAAAATGCCAGCAAACTTAGTTCAATAGCGTGATGAAAAGATCAGACTCCACAATCAAATGAAGTTTATTCCTGGGGCTATACAGATGATTTTATATATGCAAATTAATAAATTTATTATGACCCTGGTTATGGGCAGGGGTCACCAACTAAATCACAAAACCTTCAACCCACACTTGCCCTGCTTGCAAGATGTGCTGGGGCAATGGTGGCTCAGAGCTTGTAAGAGTGGCCAAGAAATAACAGGTCTAACTTGAGGCCCAAGCCATGGAGGGAGTACACGTCCCAAAGTGGCTGAATGGCCAGGAACTAAAAGGTACAAAATTCAGAGGCCCACAGTAAAACCAAACATGCTGACCAAAAAAGACAAAACGTAGCAAAACCAGTTAATGTAGTGATTCCTAACAATAATCAACTATATTCATAGAGAGTAGTGCCTCACCCAGTCAACCTCAGAACCAGGGAGTCTTCCTCCAGCAACTGATGGGAGCAACACTGAGACCCACAACTGTAGACAGAAGTTTGCTGTCTATACACAACAAAGCATTAGGCAGAACTTGGGTAATCATGCAGAAGAAGGGTAAGAAGAACTGTAGGAGCCAACGGGGTCTAGGACACCAGGTAAACATGGCCCACTGAATCAACTAAGCAGGACTGGTAGGGGCTCGCAGAGAGGGAAACGTTACTTGTGGAGCTGGCATGGATCTGCACAAGGTCCTCTGCTTCTGTGCTGTGATTGCTTAGCTTGCTATTTTTTGTGGGACTCCTAACACTGAGGATGAGGGCATTGCTGACTCTTTTGCCCACTCTTGGGACCTTTTCCTCCTACTGAGTTGCCTTGTCCAGCCTTGATATGAGTGACGATTTGTGTCTCGTCTTATTGATCTTGCTATGCAGTCACTATGATATGACATCATTATGATATGTATCACTGGGGAAGCCTGCTCTTTTCTGAAGGGAAATGGAGTAGTGGGTGTGAGTGAGAAGGGAGGAGGGGGCACTGAGAGGAGTGGAGGGAGGGAAAGCTTGGTCTGGATGTGTTATATGAGAGAAGAATACATTGAAGATAAATTATAGATTCAGTGTGTCACATTAAGAAAATGACAATGGTATGATAATCTCTGCAAATACAGTAAAAGTATTTGTAACATTTAACAGTCTCTCATGCTAAAAACCTTCAGTGTATCAGATACAGAACTAGAATATACCAACCCAGCAAAGCTGTATAGAAGATCACAGTTGATGACATTCTTAATGGTGGAAACATGTAAGAACTTGCCCTAAACTCAGACTAGGAAAGACATGCTTGCTCTCACCGCATCTACCCTGTGTAATGCATCCTTCTTACCAATGAACTCCTCTGCTGGGTAAATGAGGACTGTGCTCAGCTCTGGTGAAGATATAGAGGGGTAAAGCTGGACTTGGAGCCTGGCCCTCACCTCGTATGACTAGGACTGTGTTCTCCGTCATAAGTGGATTCCCAGATGCCTTAGTTAGGATTTCTATTGCTGGCACAAAGCACTGCAATGAAATTCAGCTTGGAGAAAAAAGGGCTAATTTCTGCTTAGGATTCTTGGATCACATTTCAGTAGGAACTGAAGTCAGGGCAGGAACTCAGGGTAAGAACCTGGAGGCAGGGTGTGAGCACAGGAAACAGTGGATCAGTGTTTACTGGCTTGCTCCTCATGGCTTCCTCAGCCCACTCTTTTATACAGTTTAGGACTACCTGACCAGAATTGGCAATGCCCACAGTGAGCTGGGTCCTCCCATACCAATCATTAATCAAGAAAATGCTCCATAGATTATACCTACAGGCAATTTGATGAAAGCATGTTTTTCAATTGTGTGTTTCCTTCCCAAAAAACAAGCTTGTGTCAAGTTGGCCAAAAAAACACCCATGACACAGCACATCACTCTTGGCATGAAAAGTAAGAAATGTCTCAGGTAGGGCAGGCACCTTTTGAGCCTACAAGAATCTGAAATAACACAAGCTCCAGCACTGAAGAAGAGTTCTGGTCATTATCACCTTGTTTAGTGATGATGGGGACCTCTAATCTTTCCAGGAACAGACCA